TTTCCTAAAAAATAGAAAAAAAAAACCTCAAAAAAAGAAACGAAAGGTCAATATTGTGGTCGGTAGGAAGTCACAAATCACATAACAAATGCCACAAGGTCATAGGGGTCCCTAATCAAAGAGAACAACAACATCATAATTAACAAATGAGAGACTTTAGAGAAAAAAAATGAAGAACATACTACTATCATCATGCAATCATGTTCATCATGTCCTTATCTCAACCACCGGAGAAATCGATACAATGGGACAATACGGATAATGTTCGTGGACTCAAATCTTAAGGAAGTCATGCTAAATTTCAATTCAAGTTATATAAAACAATGTACTTAGTATAGGTTTTTTTCAAGCATTAGTGAAAATGGACAAATATGAAACATCAAGGTAAGTAGTTATGGCGCAATTCTAAGTATTGTTTAAGTTATGGAACTTAGTCTGTTGAAAATGATTCAATAAATAAAAGGGAATTAAGAAAAACATTAAAAATGTTTGAAGAAACCAATCTTAGAAAAGGCCTCCCTCGGAAGGAGTTTATGAGGATTTTTTTTTTAATCCTTCAATTTTATTTAGAAAAACCAATGGGAAACATAGTTTTCTGTTGGAGGGGGTTTTGTGTTGATTTCTTTGCTTCACATCACATCGACCACTGACTTTGAATGTTTATGGACTTCTCTTTGACAAATTCCGGTTTGCGTGAAACCCTTACTTGAAAGCTCTGTTTTTGATCTATTCTTCCATGTGAATGGATATAACTCCTTTTTCCCCATTCCTCATTGATTTTCTTTCCAAGATGTAATGGTTCCGTGGCTAAATGAATTTATATGCATCATGATATTTTACTTTTCGTATATTGGATAATTTATAATTATTCAGGCGATATAAAAAATAAATTATCAATTTTGAATAAAAAATTTGTAAAAATCATGTTTGAATAAGCGAACTTCTTCTAAAAAAAAATCTTGATTATTATAACGATAAAATAAATCTCATTACAAATTAAGCAGAGTCCTTGCTTCATTTCTTGATGATGTACGGTATAATGAGTATATCATATATAATTAGGGAAAAGACGGTCAAGCATCTCTCGCTCTGATAATGACTTTGGAAAGGAATCGATAAGGTGGGACCAAATATGGTGCAAATTCAAATTAATGGATTTTCGAGTTCCCATCGAAGAAGAACAAGGGAAAGAAATAAATTAAATAAAACAATTACCGTACTGCTTATCTCATTTTAAATTTTTATATTGAAAATTTTGGATTTGAATAATAAAATAAGTAGAGAGAAATTGAGGATGTAAAAATTATTTTTGTTATGTAATTTATTATCAAATTTAGTAATATACTAAAAAAAGTTATGTACGGGAAGAATAAAATAAAGCTATATAAAATTACAGATACAATTTTTTATTTTTTAACTTAAAAATTAAAATGGCACTGTTCATCATTTTTCAGGCCTTGCAAAATTTCAATGCGATCTTCATGGATATCACAGGATGTGGCAAGCACATCAGGACCTCAGTAGAGACAGACCTTTCACCTGAAAGGGAATATACAATATTACAATGTCCCGTGAAAAGGTAAAATAATGAATATTGTACGATTTTTCCAAGTTGTCAACTTCTATTTTGAAGCTTCAACCGCATACCAAATATTGAAAGTTGCAGTCGTCTAAGGAATATGGATTCACATTATTTTAGTACGTAGTTGAAGTTGGTTTTGATTCGTGATGGATTATATATTTTCGAATATGGTTACGATTCTGTATCATTAAGGACTGTTTGATCTAATTAAAGTAGTTTTTTCTTTTTGATTGGACTTTAGATTTAATGATTTATCTTTAAATTTTAGTATTTAAATTTAATTGATTAATCATTCAATTCTCATTAATATTAAAAAATTTTCCATTTCTCAAAATTTTTCTATGTTAAAAAAAAAAAGAGTAGTTTTTCCCTTTTTGTTTTTTTTTTTTGTTCATAAAAAAGTCAATAATCTTAGGATGAAAATATATTAAAAGAATGTTAGGTACCGACTTATAGAAAATAAATTATTAAATAAAAACAATTCTTGATATTAAATATTATCTTCTTTTTTAATAATTTTTGTTTTGTACCTTGAATTGTAGAATAAAAAATTCAAAGTATATAAAATGACTAATTAAAGTTGATGAATTTCATTAAACTTGGAAGTTATCAAAATGGCTTTATAAAAAAATTTTCTGTGATCCAAGTTTAACTTTTGTTAATTTAGTTTTCATGGGTGAGTTTGATTGGGGTGCCTTGATTTTGTCCTTATTATGTAGAGAGCACTGATAGGCAATGAGTAAGTACAGTGAATTTCTTGCAAAATCCCCTGAATATAAGAAAGCCCTGTTTTGTGTGAAAGGGAGAACTGATGTTATGTATGATAATTGCTAGGAAAAATCACTTTCTAACAGGAAAAAGAGAATTCAAATTTATTTTGTAAGAACCACCTAAAACTCCAGAATTTTTTTGGCTATGATTTTGGACAAGATGCTTCTAGGACCACCAGGACATTGTTTTAGACCAAAAAATGTACTAAAAGAAACATGATCATTTACATCAGCTTGATGGGTTCTTTGAAAGATTAATTTTCCTTTACACCACCTTGTAGTCTTCCTTGGACGGTTGCATTCTGCATTTCTGCTCCAATCAAAGCCCTAGTCAATCTATTCCAAATTCTTAGCCACATTCAACAGTCAAACACAAAGCTGCATAAACTTCCAACCTTTGAGGTCATAAGTTTCAGCGTTCATGGTTGATCCCTTCAGGTTTGAATTTTTGTAGCCAAAAGAAAATATGAAAATTAGAAGGAAGAAACAATTTCTTTGGGTACAAAGGGCAGTACATTTATGTACCGAAAAAATAAAAAACTCAAGATTTACAAACGTTTAAAAAGTCTTTAAGTATTCATTGTCTAACCTCTTTTAGTGATTCTTTAAAGAAATGTCAATCTTTGCTAGAATGATAAAGTTTCAAAACAAAATTTTAATATATTACTATTACTCAAAAAAAAAAAAAAAAGAAGAAAAAGTCAGGTGATTCCTAATTATCAACTACCTAGGACTTTATTTGTATTGTCATTTTTAAGCAAGAAAAAGAAGCCATTGAAGATAAGATCTAAGTGAAAGATAAGATGTATTTTATATGTTTTAACTTCTTATTTTGGCCTTAATTTTATTTATATTTAGATGGGTAAAATGTGATTTTTTTTTATAAATTTTATAAAATTTTCATTTTTTGTTCAGTAAAAGATTTGAATATAAAAGAATAGACATTTTAAGACTTAAGTGAAAATGAGAGTTTAGGGACTACTTGCAATTAGGGACCTAATGAATAAATTATAAGCTTTAAGATTAAGTTGCTCATAAAATAGAAGATGAATGATCAAATGTGCTATTTTCCCATTGAATAAATTGCAAAAAGATCCAAAAAAAACCCCTCACGGCCTGGCTGTCGTTACCACCTAGAAGGTGTCGACACCATCTGTTAAGAGTTTGTTGAGTCTGCGCTGGGAAGTATTTTGCAGCAGACGTATGACACTATATTACGGTGTTGACACCATAAGCAATTTTCAGTAATGTTGTTTTAAGGTTTCTGTTTTTGTTACCCGACTAATTTGGATTCTTAATATCTTTTAGGGACTTTTAGAGAGCAAGAGAGAGGTGATAACAAGAAATTAAATAACAAAAAAAAGATCAGTATTTGATATTTTATATTATTAAATTAATTTTATTTATTATTAAAAAAATTTTATGACATAATATACTCTTATATTCATAATAAAATATCTAATTTTTTCCCTTTAATTATGAAGTATTTTTAGCCATCTTAGATCATAACATAGTGAATTTAATATTGAATGTCATAATTTTTTTTGTTTTCGAGAATTATTATTTTATAAAGTATAT